CACACGTACACAAGCACATGTATAGTCCTACGTTTCACAGAAATCCTTCCTTCAGCCTCTTCTGATAGGGCAATTTAAGGTGAATTACATTAATAAGCAGATTGGTCCATCCGTAATGTCAACACTGATAATGCAAATACAGTAGAGGATTTTAGGCACGTAGGTTTTTCTTTTATTATTAATGAAAAGTAATCAAATGACAACTGAATGTGTTTCCATTCAGGCCAGGGAGACAGTGTTAACATTAATGTCGGGATCTGTTTATCTTCGCACTCAGTTGTGTGGTTGCAATTATTACGTTGTTCAGATAAGAAACCTTTACTTTTGCAGCAGCTCCCTCATTTACTTCCTTTATAATCACTCCCATTACAGTCACAACTACCCACGTCTGATGTAATAATTCTCTTTGCAGCCATGCAATCTCTAAGACAACATTCATTAACATGCACCATGCTGACCTGAGTGTGTGCTATGCACCAAGAAGTGTCCAGGGCTGCTTGGCAGTCAGGGGTCAGCAGATAACTCTGCCACCCAAAATGTGCTAGAAAGCAACGTCCTGCCTCCTCTCCACATAAGGAATACTTAGGCCCCTCTTTTCTCTGTAAGCACATGGAAGTTCTCATTGGCTCCAGAATAAACCTAAGGAGAGAAGGTAGCCTTAAATTTCATATCTGGATGATGGCTGCACATAGGACATGTTCCAGAATCTGATCTGTACCTCTTCCACACAATGTTTGTGAAGGCAACCCAGTGAGAAGAGACATCTCCCTGCATCCCAGGCACTATCTATGTTTGGACCGTTCTCCACCTTGGGAACCATAAATTTCAGCCCCACGTCAATTGCACCGAAAGTCTGCGTTAACGTAGACTGACAACTATGGGCATTATAATCAGTGTGCAAGTAATATCAAAGGATAGGTGAGAAACTGGATCTTTGGGAGAACCACCTGCGATGTCAAATGATTCCCAAGAATGTGAGGGCAATCACATGATGCTCAACTGCCTCAGAGCTGTGAAAGCTGACTCTATACTGTTTTTTTTTCCATAGGCACCTTAGTATATTTCTAGCTATAGAACTTTTAATAGCCACTGGTGTTTTTATGCCTTCAAATTTTCATTAAATTAATTAATTAAATCTCACTAATTAAATAAAAATCAAATGCAACTTTGAAGTCTCTTAATTTTCTGCTACCCTGAAAGCATGTTCTGACTTTCCAGATAAGATGATTACATTCCTTTATGATCAAACTTTCTCGTATTTCTGATAAGTGAGTCTGCATCAGGGAAGAAGAGGGAAAGAAAGCACATAACTTAGGAGAATGAGACTTTCCTGTTGAAGATAACTGCAAACCGGAGTGTCCCAGCTTAACTGCCTTGACTCATGTTTCACAGTTCGTAGGTGAATTGAAATGGCCTCCATTTATTCATTCAGCATTTGACAATCATTCACTGAACGTCAGTGCTCTGTGCTGAACACACCACTAGACAGTGGATATATGTAGATAAAGAACAACCATGTCCTCAAAGTGAGGCTCGCTCCCTCCAGGATAGGAGGTTCCTTTGGTGAACAGAAACCAATGGCTTCAAAGTCGCAAGGTATCTTAAACATCGGTAATTCAACCTCCCTTCTTTAAACTACAGGAATTCCTTCTACAAAACACATGACCAAAGTTTCAGCCTGTTTCTGCTTGACTAGTTCACAGATGGAGAGCTGACACCTCTGCAAGTCAACGCTTTCCCACTATTTGGTCACTCTCTGTGTTACTGAATTATTTCTTAGCATAAGCCCCGATTCTTCTCACTGTAACTCCATCTACCATCACCCCACTACCTTTCACTCTAGAATATAATTAATTCCTTCTTTACTTTTTCTGTGTATCACATATTTACAGACAGTGATTATATCTTCCCTACTTATTAAGTATTCCAAATTTCTTCCAATGTTCTTCAACGGAGAGAATTTGCAAGTCACCGTGTTTTTCGAAGTCCTTCATAAAGTGTGAACCCAGACCTGGGTGCAGCTCAGCAGTTATGAGCGGAAGACTAATTCAGTCTCCAGAGGCATTTCATGTGTATTTCTCGATCGGGAGTCTCTCACTTTTCCTGCACCCCAAGAGTTTTTAGAGCCCAAGCCATTCTTATCCGGCAACTGCCCCCCAAATCCTTTCTACATACTCTTCTTAGGGATGTCATTGTACTCCCAGGCACCTAGATGTGAAACCTTGAAGTCTTTTTTTTTTTTTAAGTTTATTTATTTATTTTGAGAGAGACAGAGAGAGTCCTAGTAGGGGAGGGGCAGAGAGAGAGAGGGAGAATCTCAAGCAGGCTCTGTGCTGTTGACGCAGAGCCCTACTCGGTGCTCCAACTCATGAACTGAGATATCATGACCTGAGCCGAAATCAAGAGTCGGGCACTCAACCGACTGAGCCACCCAGGTGCCCCAAACCTTGAAGTCTTAAGTGGGTATTTATTATATCTCACTTGGACTATTTACTTATTTTTTTTTAATTTTGCTTTTGAGTAAACTCTACATCCAACGTGGGGCTCAAACTCACGACCCCAAGATCAAGAGTCTCGTGCTCTACCGACCGAGCCAGCCAGGTGTCCCTAGTTTGGGCTATGTAAATGGCTGCCAAGCGGTCTTTCTGCCTTAAATCTCTCTAAGCTACAATCCACCCTTCAGCTACTACCACAGTCATCTTTGTAAGGAGGTACCTCTGATCATTTCCGTCCAAGCTGAGGTAAACTATGCATCTATTTATACTTCCCCTCCACTTCTGTTGGAAATGTTTAAATTTCTTAACCAAATATACATATTTTTACTTGCCACATTTGTACTCCTATCACTACCATTAGGGTGATAACTGTGCAGTTATATTTACAACCTTGGTTAATACTCCACGTTCACTTTATTACTCATGTAGTCAGTCTATTGATATCGAACTATCGAGGGCCCTAAGAATTGGGTTTTTTTTAACTTTCTATTCTGCTTTTCCTTCCATCACTGGGCACTTTTTCTAGTATAATTTTTCTCCAAAGGCCACAACTTTTGTTGTCCATAGAATCAACAAAGAGAGTTACTGAACATAAGAGAAATAAAGATAAAATGCTATAAAAGAGGCAGAGTTTGAGTTGAGCCTTAAAGGATGGGTAGGACTCAGGGATTGCGATAGAATAAAAGGCATTATTGGTGTCAGGATTTGCAAAGAATAAAATGGAAGCGGGCACAGAATTTTGATAGGTCTCATTGCCAAGAATATAAAGTGCATGAGAAAAGGATACATAGACCCTAAGAGAAAAAAAGGGATTGGATCTTAGTGTGCTTGAATGCCAAATGGTGGCATCTGATACCATTGGAATGACAAATTTATAATTTACAGTGGTCAAAATTCTACCTGTGCCTCCAACCTTTGGATTCCCTATCTCTTCAAAATTGATAAAGATATATACTAGGTTAGGTTTACACTGTGTTGTTTGTTCTCATTTGAATCAGTTGAAGTAGATGGAGGGTAGTGGGTTTTATGACCCTTGCCATGTACCACCGATTCAGGAAGATGGGGACGCTGCCCACTCTGCCATCACTTGACAGTCGCAGGCACAGATCCCTTCGTGCTCCTCAGTATGGTAACATCACAATGTGGTTCTTTCTGTTGGGGACAGCTACAGAATTTCTTCCAATTGCTAAAACTTGCATGTACGTTTTTGGATTCTTCCAAGTTGTCTTTCCCCATCCTCTTCTGAACATCTCTGGGTCCACTCCACAAAGGAAGAACTTCTTACCTGCTGCAAGGCTTGAATGCTGTTAAGTTTCTCCTCTTCCTCCTCCTCTCTCCCTTTTATTATACTCCTTCACCATGTGCCTCTTGCCACTGATTTTGTGCCATTTCTGTGCACGGGACAATTTTCTTCCATCTGGCTGACTTCTATCTCTGAGCACTCCAACCTCTTCAAAAGGCAGAAAATCTGTCCTTTCTAGAACATGGATTCCTAATCTGAAGTTCAAAGGACCAATCCCCACATACACATATACAAGGTGTTTGTGCATAGAATTCTGGGGGAAGGGGCCATGAACTTAGATGGAAGGAAAAAAAAAATCACACCTTTAATTGCACTCACCTCTTAGAGAAATTTATCATTTTCTTCCATTATGAATATAGGCAACAAACTTCAGTATCTTAAGCAACACCTGTGACTTTGTCTTGAGTAGAGAGAACTCACAGATATTTTTTTTAAATTTTTTTTTAACGTTTATTTATTTTTGAGACAGAGAGAGACAGACCTTGACGGGGGGAGGGGCAGAGAGAGAGGGAGACACAGAATCGGAAGTAGGCTCCAGGCTCTGAGCCATCAGCCCAGAGCCCGACGCGGGGCTCGAACTCATGGACCGTGAGATCGTGACCTGAGCTGAAGTCGGATGCTTAACCGACTGAGCCACCCAGGCGCCCCAGATCACAGATATTTTCATCATATTTCAGTTGCAGATATCTCAAAATATTGTCTAAGCCCATTAAAACTTCAGAATTAAAGTCATTATTAGTCTCACTGCTAGATCTTATTTTTAAGGCATTAAAAAAGAAAGGCACAGGGTCTCCTGGATGACTCTGTCGATAGAGCATGCAACTCAATGTCGGGGTCTGAGTTCTAGTCCCACCTTGGATGTAGAGATTACTTAAATAAATAAAACTTTATTTATTTATTTATTTATTTATTTAGAAAGGCACCTATTACTATATCACAACTTTTTTTTTTTTTTTGCTATTTTGATAAACCATATTTCAACTAATTGGTTTCCTTTGCAATTCTGTTATTTTTAATGCATTTAAAAATGTTCTGGGGTGTCTGACTGGCTCAGTCAGAAGAGTCTGTGACTCTTGATCTCAGGGTTGTGAGGTCATGCCCCAGGTTGGGCCCAGAGCCTGCTTAAAAACAAACAAAAAAAAAACCCTTCAGTCTCTGACACCGCAGGAGCTGTGTTACATTGCCTCTTACCTGCTGACGTCCTCTAGGGCAATGCCTCCCCCCAGTGCCAAGGACATCAAGAAGATTCTGGACAGCATGGGCATTGAGGCGGATGACGACCTGCTTGACAAGGTCATCTGTGAGTTGACCGGAAAAAGCACTGAAGACCTCATGGCCCAGGGTATTGGCAAGTTGGCCAGTGTGACTGCTGGTGGGGCTGTGGCTATCCGTGCCTCCCCAGGATCTGCAACTCCTTCCTGCTGCTGGTTCCATCCCAGCTGCAGCAGAGGAGAAGAAGGATGAGAAGGAAGAGTGAGAGGAGTTGGACAATGACACGGGATTTGACTTGTTCCACTATAGTCCCGCTGTCCTGTAAACAAAACCCTTTTTTACATACATACATACATACATACTTTAAAAAAGTGTTCTGAGCAGTCTATGAACATTACCAGACTGCCAAAGGAGTCCAAAGCACAGAAAAGGATTAGGATCCCTGCCCTGGAGGGAAACCCCACTGCATTTAGAGTACATATATTTTTGTTTTATAGTACGTGTGACTGGGGGCGCTTGGCTGGCTCAGTCAGAAGAGCATGCAACTCTTGATCTTGGGGTTTTGAGTTTGAGCCCCACGTTGGGTGCAGAGATGACTTAAATAAATAAAAACTTTTTAAAACTAGAGTACATATAATTGGTGAATGCTCTAGAAAGAAGACACACTTACCTGGCTATTCTTCCAGCAAGGGAAAAATGGCTAAGAGCATGGACTGAATCCAGGTTTCAAATTCCAACTCTATCATTTCCTGGGGTTGCAGCACTGGATCTATCCTCAAAACTCTGTGTCTATGTACTTACCTAAGATAAAACATAGGTTGTAAAGTTTAAGTGAAATTTTATATCTAAGTGATTAGCAAGTACCTGGTACATAGCATTCAGCAGATAAAAAATAGCTATCGTTAATAACAATTATAGTCAATTATTATCATAGATGATAGCAATATTAGTACTATTATTGATTATTAGCATTAATTACTAATATAGTTATGGTTTATCACAATGACTATGATCCCTTGCTAAAGCATTTTAATTACCATTTAACATCAACGACTATGATCCCCTCAATTCTGCCACGACAGGTCTTTGTCTCAAAATGTTCATCATTAAAAGTCTTCTGCAAAAGAGTGATAATGAAAAGCCCATTCAATTCAACTAATATTAAGGTACGATTGTGTGTGCTGTGCTCTATACTGGGTGCTGAGGTTGTAAGATGGCTAAGGCTTGGCTGGCCCCCTGCCCTGGGTAGCTCGTGGTCTAGCTGGAAAGACAATCATGTAAACAAACAGTTATGATAACTTATAATAAGTGCTAAACATTAGTCCTAGCAAAGTGCTGTGAGAACCTGGTAGACAGAGGGATTAGCTGACCAAGAAGGCAGCAGCTGAGCTGGAAGTCTTCACAGAGATGGTGATATTTGAGCTGTGTGGAAGGATGAGTAATGGTTTAGGAGGCAGAAAAGGTATAATGTGAGTCAAAGCCCAAGTCGGAGAATTGCAAAGGAATGCCAAGAACAAAAGTTTTGCTAGAATGTAGGGCGCGGGGTGAGGAGTGAATCGAGATGAAGCTAAAAGGGCATTTATCACCTGGGCCAGGCCAAGTGTTGTAGAGACTTGCCGTTCAAAATGTGGTCCCGGGACCTGCAGCATCTGCCTGAGATGTTGTTAAAAATGCAAATTCTTGGGCCTCACCCCCAGACCGACCAGAACAGAATCTGCATTCTGAAAACCCCAGATGATTTGTATGCGCATTAAAGTTCGAAAAGCGCTGTTGTAGAACCGTAAATGCTAGCCTAACATGTTAAGCCTTTATCCTATGGCCCTTATACGTTATAGATCTGGTTTGTAGAAACTAAATTTAATAGCAGCATGAACAGATTGGAAGGTAGAGAAGAGAAAGCAGGATGAGTAGATAAGAGACCAAAGTAATGGCTCTGTCAAGGTAGAGAGGGAACGAAAGAGACAGATAAACACCCCCTGGCCTTGCCTTTGGTTGCTAGAGTCATCATAACCTGTCAATAATTTCTCTGTATTAAGCACCTGCTGTATTCCAAGTCCTGGACTGGGTACTGGGAGGACAGAAATAAGTGTAAAGTGAAATCCCCTGAAAATTTCACCCTATATAATGAGATGACAGACACACGAAAAGTCAACAAATACACAGGGGGGTGTATATGTGTCACACATACATGTACACATGCACGTATGTGAACATGATGTTGGCTAATTGCCACCTCTCCCTGACTCCTGCTGTAACCTATGATAAAGTGATTACTGGTCATCTTCTGGAGGTGAAACTGGTCATATGGAGATAGGAACCAATCCCAGGTTCATGGCTGTGCCCGATTAATCTGAGATTGGAATGGATAGCTAATGGGGGCTTACAGTATCATCATATCAGCCATTAACTTGAGGGGAGGCATTTTTTCCCTGACAACGCAATCATTTGCCTCGTGCTTGGAATGTTTAAACATAGATAATATTTTGTATCTAGCGATGTTATCTTTGTAAAAATTAAAATAATAGTCATGCAACGTAATTTTTTCTCTCCCCATTAATATTACAATTAGTTTGTTAGATGTTTGGTGTAAATTTAATGGCTTCGTGGATCAGATGCACTTAATACTATCTCATAAGCATTAGTGATTATTCCAAATATATTAGCCATTTTATCTCTTTGCAGAATGCCTATGTGTGCTTGTCAAATGAAAGAGCATTACCTGCAGGAAAACCCCCCATCTTGATCAATATTGTATCATAAAGTACACTGGGATTTTCTTTCCTACTGGTGTAGGCAACAGAAATGATGTCTTAGAGTAGCCACAACTTCAAGTGCTTAACAGCAGAAAAGTTATCAGAAGGAGCTCCACAGCCATTCAGCCTGAGGAAACGTTATCTACTCTTCCTCCCTGACCCAGAAGGGGTTAGGAGAATGGAGGAACCAGAACTTGGCTACATATCTAACAATCTCTAGATATACCACCATCACCTCTCTGTTTCTCCCCAACCCTCGCACCTCTCTCTCACTGTCTCTCTGCTTCTCTCTCTCTCTGGTTCACACACACCCACACACACCCACACACACCCACACACACCCACACACACCTCCTTCAGGAATTTCCTCACAGGAGTCAACTGTAAACAAGGCCAGCCCCACTGTTGACACAGCAGCAGTAAGGACTTTCACACTAAATTAAAGAATAAACATAATCTCACTCTATTATTTTTTTTTTAATGTTGATTTATTTCTGAGAGGCAGAGAGAGAGGGAGACACAGAATCCGAAGCAGGCTCCAGGCTCTGAGCTGTCAGCACAGAGCCCGACGTGGGGCTCGAACTCATGACCTGAGTGAAGTCAGGTGCTGTATCGACTGAGCCACCCAGGTGCCCCTAATCTCACTGTATTATCAAAGGAAATATGAATGTGTGTATAGAAAGCCATTTTGTAACAAACTGATCATTCAATTTCATTGCGATAGAACAAGGTGTTGGGAGCCCTGGACGTAGACAAGGTTCAAGAATGTCAGCACATATCCCAGCACTCTGAGAAAGAGTTGAGAACAGTGCGGGGACTCCCTCTCGGAAAGAGCTGTGGAAGCTACATGTACTGCAGACAAAGCTTTCTAATGCCTGCAGCAAGTCTGGTTGCTTGAAGACACATATATTCACTTTTTTCCCCCCTAGGAGGATTATTTCTTGTAGGATTAATACCAGACCATAAGAAAGAAAACAGGGGCACCTGACTGGCTCAGTCAGAAGAGCATGTGACTCTTGATCTCGGGGTCATGAGCTCAAGCCCCCACGATGGGTGTAGAGATCACTTAAATAAACAAATAAACACTTATAAAAAAAAATACTTCCAAAAAGAAAACAGAAACAAAACCCTAGTACTGTTTCTCTCACAATCAACTAGTTTCTTTTTTTCTTATCTAAGTTTATTACTTATTTTGAGAGGGATGGCATGAGCAGGGGAGGGGCAGAGAGAGGGGGGTACAGAGGCTCCGAAGTGAGCTCTGTGCTGACAGCAGAGAGCTCCATGAGGGGCTTGAACTCACGAACCCGTGAGATCATGACCTGAGCGGAAATCAGATGCTTAACCGACTGAGTGAGCCACCCAGGCGCCCCACAATCAGCTAGTTTCCGAGTTTACCCAGCCTGTCAGAACTCTGGGCGCTCACCTGGCATATAACTCGCGACTTACAAAACGGTGTTTCCTTGTGGTTTCAGATTTTAAAAGCCCACCACAGAGATTCAACATCTCCCATATTTTTACTAAGTCAGCTCATTTCTGATGCATCAAGGATCCAACGGAGACCACTGAGGTGTAAGTTGAGACCCAACAACGGTACTTGTTCCAGTCAACGTTTTCTAAACAGAAGATCGGTCCGCTCCTTCGTCATTCTGCTCCTGTCCCTACCACCCCACCCCCCACCTCAGGACCCAGGACCGGGGCAAATGCTGGCCATCCCCCAGTGCGGACAAGGACAAAGTGGGAGAAAGGTGGTGAGCCGCAGATGGACTGTCAAGTTCATGCCAGCTGTAAAAAGGGAAATATTAAAGCCACGGCAGCCTTTTCGCGAACCCATTGATGCCAGGAGAAGAGAATCTGCACTGGCAGGTTTTGTTATTTTCTAACTTGACCCTGACAATACCTGCTGGGCTACCTGTGCTTTCTGCCAAAGAAGTGTCAGATGAGGGAGGAAGTTTGCGCACCTGGTGAATTCAACATCACAATGCCAATTGGGAGGGAGGAAAGAGAGAAAGAAAGGCAACTACAGAAAAGAACAGAGCCAAGAAATAGAAACTGGGGAGGAGGAGGAAGAGTAATGAAACAAACAATTTGGAGGAATTCTTGTGTGACGTTTTCCAAGATCGTATTACACCACAGGGACAGTAATAATTAACGATTCTAGTCGCCTTGGGGTGTGAGTATACACCACTCTGGGTTTGAATTTTTGTACCTGGAGCCCAAAAGGAAACTCTGCACCAGCCACCGCTGTCTGTCTGAGATTTTGATGCCCTGTTTGGCTGGGCTGCTGCGGAGTTTCCAACTGCATGTAATTAAACATGAAGTGGTCTCTTGATGGGCTGTCTTTTCCAAAAAGGCCTTTCTTTAATTTACAGTCAGTATGTCTGTAGAAAACACTAGATGGTTGCTTTTGCCTGTCCCAGGGACACTTCGGCCATTCCATTCACAGCCCTGTTTTTTAAGGAGTCAGTCTGATGGAGGCAATTGGAGGGGGGAAAGGAGGGGTGAGTTTCAAAGACGTCCAAGCCTAAGCCAAGCTTGTTAGCAGCAACTGTCACACAACAAGGCCAGGACACAGAACACCATATGGAGCTTCTGCAGCCACGGGCCCTGGGACCTACGTAGGTTCTCAGTGCAGAGCATCTCCTGTGCTCCGACCTCCCTCCGCACACCCAGGACTCCCAGAGGGGCCTGAGTTTGGAGCATCACAAACTATAACCGTTCATCGGAACATCTGGATCGTATTCAAATGTGTTAAAAATACGTGTTCCCATCCATTCGAGTGTCAGCAAACATCAAGCTTCTAGCGTCACTTGCATTTCCATACATCCTTAAACGCACCAGCATTTTCCTTTAGACTCAGAAGGCTTGGCTTCCGTTGTGACCACCCAGCAGAATGGTCTCCCATAACCATGAATGTGAGTTCCATGGAAGCTGAAACTTTGTGTGCCTGGTAGAAAGAAGACCCTCAAATAGTTACTGAATGAATAGATACATCTTACAAGGGCCCTAGTTTTCCTAAACCCTAATGAAGGTTTAAGTGGAAGCTTAATTTTGTAAGCTTGACACCTGAGAATCTTTTCCTACAGCCAATCTAATATCCACTTTAGGGGCACCTGGGTGGCTCCGTTGGTTAAGCGTCTGACTTCAGCTCAGGTCATGATCTCACAGTCCGTGAGTTCAAGCCCCACGTCAGGCTCTGTGCTGACCGTTCCAAGCCTGGAGCCTGCCTCAGATTCTGTGTCTCCCTCTCTCTCTGCCCCTCCCCTGCTCATGCTCTGTCTCAAAAATAAATAAAAACATTAAAAAAAATAATATCCATTTTAATGTTTATTTATTTTTGAGAGAGAGACAGAGAGACAGACAGTGAGTGGGGTAGGGCAGAGAGAGAGGGAGACACAGAATCCGAAGCGGGCTCCAGGCTCTGAGCTGTCTCTGTGTGGAGACCGACGCGGGGCTCGAACCCATGAACTGTGAGATCACGACCTGAGCCACAGTTGGACCCTTAACCGACTGAGCCACCCAGGTGCCCCTCTAATACCCATTTTAATGTCTCCGGGGCCAGAAAAATATTATAATTTTACCATTCATATAATTGTTAGTAATGCAGTTAGTGTCTGCTCTTCAGAGAAATTTACAGCAGGCATGAGAAGCTACAATGTGCTTGGTTATTCTTTCAATCTCCTGAAGAGGTCAAAGCTGAAGTGTCTTCAAGGCAAACACGGACTCTTATTAATATAACTATGTCTCCTCGTGGAACAAATGCAAATCTATATGAACCTACAAAAGTCCCTTTGGCAATAATACCATTAGTGTCACAACTGTCAAAAGGAATTGAAAAACAAGAGTGATATTCAATAAGCATATGGTTAAGTACATGATAGGTGGGAATTCTCACCTAACAGGTCACCTAGTCATGAGTCGAGCTGTCGGCTGATGCTGGACAGTTCCTGAGGCTTAATTCCAAGGGTTCTTCCTTCCCTGGCTTTAAATGTTCCAGACTGGTGATTCCGTCACTTCCCTTGAGCGACTCTTCCCGGGCCATCGAGAGGTCATCACTGAGACATCTCGCAGTTTCATGTTTTTATTCCAAATTAGCCCCTCAGATGCCCCTGGTCAATTCTGATGGGTGATGCCTTTTCAGACTCTTGCAGGTGGTTGTCA